ACCTATGCAAAACCAAGAAAGTCCAAATATACTACTGTGGCAAGCAGCAGTCTGCTACTTGTAATGTAGAAATTACAAATGGAATGAAGCCTTAGCTGGAAACCTAGATCCCATCTCCTTACAGTTTTTAGCTCAAATGTTACCAAGAAATGATAGTGTCAGGTTTGTTCACAATATTTTAAGTAACAAGATGTTTTCAACAAAATTCCATGAACATGGTCAGATTTACCTTGCCACTTGCTTTTCAACCTCTACCGAGCGAGAAGCCTCAGAAAGATTTTGCTGGATTCTCCAGGAAGAAAGAAAAATGAGAGAGCAGGAGCGGGAGTTGAGAGAAGAGAGTCAACAGTGATTAATTGAGAGATTAACACAAGGAGTAAACAGCTGTATATTCAGAGTTGCAAAGGAACTGTGAAGTATATACACTTAGCTGACTACATTATGCTAACCTAAGAGTTGGCAACAGTGATCAACAGCTGTTGTTTACATTATTAAATATGTAACCATAATAATCAAATGATTTTTTGATGTTGTTGATCTTTGATTAAGGTTGAAGTAATTTTAGGCAAAAAGCTTGTTTTGGTTCTGGACAAATTATTTATGTTGTTTAACAGTTGTGCTGATCAAGTTGTTATTTTTTTAAATTTCAGTCTCGCTCTTGTGCCTTGTTTGTTCTGAGACTCCACCAGTTGGGCTCTAGAAAGAGCGATATATGTTTGCTGAAATCAAGCAACTGTATTTACTTAAAGATGGGCACATATAGTGTAAAAATTATAAATATTATTACCAGTGGCACACTAAGTTGGCCACTGAATTATTCAAGTGGTAATGAGGTAAGTAAATAAACAAATAATATGTATAAATTCATCCCTTTTATTATTGTCAGATTTTATCTTGATAAACCTCCAGTTTGTAAATGAAGTTGCATAATCTTGAAAAGCATATTTTCACAAACCTTCTTTGGACAGTGATAAAATTACAATTTGGTTACAATATTTTATCTGTATCCCTCTTGTTTACTCTTATTTATTAGTGGCATTCAAAAATAAATGGAAATGAAACTAAACATTCCCCATCCATACAATAACATGTTAAAATTTCAGAATTCTTGTGACTGTCCACAATTCACAAGATATTTTCTCAATGAAAGACAGAATGCCTCTTTGGAACTGAGACTCAAATTTCAATGACATCCTCAACATTTCAGTTAAAAAAAGTTCCAGTTTTCCTCCAGTTTCCATTAAGAGCACTAGCAAGATGTCAACAAAAATTATACCTTGGGACACCAAGCCACTTCCATCCCAAAAAAAAAAACCCAAGACACTTGATTATTTCCATCCAAATAAGGAAGAGACTCAAGGAATTAATTTCTGCACATTTACCCCATAAAAGATCCTAATTTCATCCCTGTGGTAAGAGTCAAAACCAAAGTCACACCTTTGCAAATAGGAAATCACTTGTGCTTGACCAAACTTAGAAGGTTAAGTGCAAAAGTTGCAGTATGTTAAAGAATCCTGGTTCAATTTTAAAAAATATATGTATATGTATAGCTAAGCACACCATGATACTTAGTTATTTCCATCCAAAGCAAAGAAAGACCCTTAATTGTTGCCATCCAAAGCAAGGAAAAAGACATAAGGAATGAATTTCTGCACAATGTCCAACTTTCATCCTTGTTGTAATGACACCTTTATAAATATGTAAAATTTGGAGAGATTCAAGACCATAATCATGGGCTTTCAAATAGAAAGTCACTTGAACACAAGCGAATTTACATGGTAATATACACAACTAACAATATGTTAAAGGATTCAGGTTAAAAATTATTTATCACATCACAAGCAACCATTACTCATAAAGTGGACATGCAAAAGTCTGGATGATTTTTTTACATAATTTAATTCTCAAAAATATAACCTGTTGCTTTGCACTCTTTGGATGCCCATTCATTAAAACACTTTTCAACAGACTGGAAAATGTTCGCACACTTTTACTGTTCAAACCAATGTATTCCAATCACTTAAAAGTCAACAAAGTATTTTTTTCTTTTTCCAAAAGGTTTTATAATTCAAAGGGAGAGCAGAGTGAAAAATTTCATCTACTCCCTCTTCTCCTCCAGTCAACCACAAACCAGATATTTAACCACCATTAGGAAAAACGATCGTACAAGTAGAGATCAACATGTGTCATTCTGTTTACAATATCAACCCCACTGACAAGCAAATCCGTGATTACAAAAAAACCACCTTTCAAGCTACGTCACTTAAATTACGGCTTCCAACTCTCTAAAAGCAACGTAGAGCAGCTAAACAAATTAGATGCTTAGATTTTTTAAGTATCTAATCTCATTTCCCGCGTAGATGGTCCGCAGAAATGTAGTTAAATTTGCATTCCTTTGTTCTTTTGTAGCTCGAATGATTGGCATATAAATTAGTTAAAAGGTAATATGAACCTTGTTCTTTAGATCTGCAAAGTTTACGGGCAGGAATTTTGCAGCTAAATAGAAGAGACATGTAGCTTAACTGTTGTGCAGAGAATTCACAAAGGCATCCTTTGCGTATGGTCAAGGTTAGCGCATCTGTCCTTCGAATAGTTTATAATGTTGTACCGCGCCCGTTTCACCAGAGACTAAGCAATATTCACACGAACACAGAAGTATATAGCCATTTTATCGCAAAAAAGATATTAATAATTCGTTTAACCCTTGGTTTAATTTAAGAGTAAATCTTGATTTATAAATTAACAGCAACAACTGATATTTACTAGGGAAATTTCAGAATTTACTAGGAAACCTACGATCATCGAAAACGACAATGCATCGAATACTCTTAATATTTCACTTTGCACTCAAGACCACATCACTCTGGAATCAACATCAAGCCGTTTTGGCTGAAAATACGAGCCCTTGTTATGTATTTAGTGGAAGACTCACCGAGTAGTTATCTTGCTTGGATACGAAGGTAGCGTAGACTGTCCATCCACCATGGTGGCATGTCTTAGTGGCATGATGCTAACCTCGAGTTCAAAGTTGCTCTTGCAATGAACGATCGTGTATTATCTCTCGCATTCTGGTCAGATCTAAAAGAGAAATATCCACTTAAAGGAGCTAAAACCTCCAAGACTACACAAGTTCAAGAGGATGAAGAAATTTCCACGAAATCTTACCTTGGACGCGGCCAACACACGATCATCCGCTTACATAGAAATCTGTAACCTTCAACTTAAAACAAGCAGCAGGACTACAAGCCAATCAGCTGTCGCCCTGCAAAGGAGGCTGACTTGAGCGGCGACTTCAAAAATTTTCAGTATTGTTTGCCTTTGTGAAGGGAGCATCTCTATGCACATATGTTTCATCTTATGACAAAAGAATTAGAAGAGAGCAAGAACTGGGTTTATCCGAAATAAAAAAATTAACAATGTTAAATCAAAAAAGCGCTTACATACTATGAAACTCTGCCATAGCGGGAAAGGCAAAGTCCTTGAAGACATCAAATAAGCTGATTTTTAGCCCCTAATTCGAACGTTCGACCGAGCCCAAGGAACTGGCAATTAGTGTTGTTTGTCCATACTTTTGCTCTCTTCTTTTGTTTGCAAATTGTAGAGGGTGTGTTCTTTGTAAAGGTGTAAAGGATACCATTGCAAAATGAAGCCTATTCATCACTTTGTTGAGCGTTGTGGCGCATTTTGCGGGCTAAGACGGAGATTTCGGCGGGCTAAAACGTATTTTAGATATAGACTGTCTCTTTATAATATCTTGATTTCAATCCGCTCGCAAGTGTGCGTGAATTTCAGACTTTTTTGAAGACTTTTGTTTTTTCCAGTTTTTTATTTTCTCAAGGCACAGTTTTTGCTCTTGTCCTCTACTGTTTAATAAGAACAACTCGGTAAGTTCCTTCTTTTGACAACTAAATTTCAATTGTCCTTTCTTCCCGATAAAGCCGGATTCCGTGTAGCATCACGATATGGTGCATACGGAATGAGTGTGTAAACATGTGTAAAGCGTTTTTAGCTAAAGAAACGGGAAACCAGAACTGCAATAAGTCGCAATTCTGAAATAATTCGATTCTGTTCTGCGAAATAACTTTCTGCTTTTGCGTCAGAAAATTATTTAGCGTGGATTTTGTTTTAATTAAGGACAAAACAAAGGCGAAACACGTGCAAAGAAACGCAGATGTCGGATGTAAGCTGACACGGTCGACACAATCATTTGCAAACAAAAACATGATGAGTAACTTCATTAAAAGTTTGAATAATGCCCTTGGTTACGAAGTACTTCAGAGAAAATTGTCTTGAGGCAAATAACAAAGAAACTAGTGATTTAAAACATGATTGAAAGCTCCCAACCACCGATATTTTAAATCAAAAGAAATTTCAACGATTTACGAATAACCAATTCGCAGAAAGGTCATTTTCTGTAAAATCAGTCATTGACGCAGCTAACCCTATTCAATGCTACTAGCAGTCTCATTTAATGCGCTGCGTCTTTGAAATTCGCGCGACGGACCTCGCAGAATAGTAAGGATTACTTGTAGTCTAGGTTTAATTTCCCAAGCTTCATTTCAACACCCTATCATTTTCAGAAGCGATTTCCCCTTCAAAAGGGATCAGGAATTTGAGCTGCATAGTGGAAACGTCCACAGTATAGGGAGCTATCAATTATTGGGCCACGTGTCGAAACTATGTTATTAAGCGCATAATTTAGCCTCTTAGTTTGCAAGGAGAAATGATTGCGTGACATGACGAGCCCAACAACGTTTACGCAAGAAGCTACGCTCATTCTCCTCAAAGTCTTTCTTTTCAAGATCTTCTACCAATTCTGGGCCTCGTGCTTTTTACTTCCTTGTAGTATTAATTTCTTTCTTGGTTAGTGGTGTATCGTATTTCTTTAATATTGCAAGTACTTGCCTCGTCAACGAATGGGTAAAAAAGGAAAAAGATAACAAATTGTATGGAAGGAAAGAGAAGGACCGCAATACATGGAGTGTCATAACTCTTCAGAAAAAGCCGTAATAAAACTTTATTCCTTTCCGGTTTCTCCGAGACATGATCAAAAGTTTTATAGCATATACAGCTGCCATTGCGCTGTACTTATATACTGCTGATCAAAAAAAATGAGAAATAATCATGATAGACTCTTAAAGATAAATCCAATGCTTGAATTTTCCAGTTTTTCAAAACTGTAAAAAAGAAAGAAAGAAACTGCCTCTAAAATTGTTCTCAGTCATTTTATAGCTTCGGAGACGTTGCTGCCTTGGGCTTTAATGATGAAACCTCTGGATAATTAATCATCTTCTTTACTTCCTTAATTGAGAGCTGAAAGAAGGAAAATAAAATAACTTAGGTTATTGAATATTAGAAAAATTGAAGTGAAATAGCTAGGTCATAAAAGTCTGATTGTATTGTCATAATCACACCGTGAAATATCTAAGTGGAGCAGTGAATCGAAGAAGTGAATCAAGCCTGTCTTAATGATAGAGCTTACATTTTCTCCAGATCGTGTATCTACTTCTTCGTCTCTCCGTCAACAAACTGCAGTCATGGAGGGTTATATGGGTGAAGCATGAACAAGGCAGTGTAAAGCGGGTTAAGAGTCGAGCTGATGGTCTTAAATTTTTATAGACATTTCACTTCACTCCCACAATACCTTTCTCTACCCGGGAGTATAAACTGGGTCCGTGTCACGTGTCAGAGGAAAACTAGTCTGCTCCAGGCCTTCTGTTAGTAAAACGAGACGCGATAGGAGCGGAGGAGTAAAAAATCGACGGAGGTTTGGGTCGAGTTGCCGCTAGTATTGTAAAGTAGTTTATAAATTTTACCATGCACTGTTCAAATTTTCTCAAGTGTAGTATGGGTGGGTCTAGTCTCGTACCCAGACCTTTCACGGCCAAGCAATTGTAACCTACATCTCTGTTGCAGCTATGAGGTAAGTTCCGAGTAGGAGATTAGTTTAGATCTGGATGGGGCCTCAGCTGAAATTAAAAGGTTGTCAAAGTACGTGCTAGGCAGCTTCTTTTAGTAAATAAGAGAGTGAGTGCTTGATGATTGGATAAGAGAATGAATGAACGAATGGCTAAATGAATGAGTGAGGCGCGACGAAAGTTTGGCAATCACGCCTTAACGCTAAAATCTTGTTGTTGTCACGGTTAACTGGTTCCGTTTCCAGTGGTAAATGTGACGTTTGACCTCAGTTGGCAAATTTTCACGTTTGACGGCACTTTAGATTCGGCTACCTTTTGAAACAAAAACCTATTTTACGGTCAAAACCCCGTTACCAAAATTAAACCGTGCCTCAACCAACTGATAATCGTAATAGTTAAGATTCGATTATATTCGAATTAAGATAAAGGTCAATTAGGGTATTTCTGAGTTAATACGAACCTGCTTTCATCTTACAAATGTAAGCGAATTTCGAATCACAGGGATAGTCATTCCAGTTTTTGCCTCTTCCACTGAACATTGCGCATTTTTCAGGTCTCCCTCGGCCGCCATTATTTGGTTCACCTGGAGACCAATTGAGGTATGACAAGCGACTCCTATTGAAGAAAAACTTTAAGTTACCATGGATACACACAAAAACAGGCTTACTGCCTGAGAGATAAGTGATTTGTTACCATAGATACTTTTATGGCATGTAAGCGGATAAGTGGATTACCATTGCGATTTCGATAAAGATCGATAACTCGCCGTATATAAACCTCCGACCGAAGGAATTTACAAAACTCTTGGTCGCTTAAGACTACTTGGGCCATGGAAACTAATAGGATTGCAACACAAGGAGCCAGTGAGATCTCAGAGCAAACCAGCAAATTTCATGATGCGCAGGAAACAGGGGGTGATCACATCCGATTGGATAAACACAGCGGTCAAATGTTGGCCATGCACGAGGGGATTAATTTTGGACTCTCGCGCGCTAACTCCCGCTCAAAAACATAGGAAAAAACCGCTATCTCGCAAAATAAGTGAAAGAAAATTGAAAAGTTTACAGAAATCGGTAAAGAAAACAGGAGTATGGAAAAGGAAAACTTGAGACTTACGAACACAAAGCTTTTAAGTAAGTAAAGCATCCTGTCGATTTCCATTTTGTTTTTATCTCTACCAAAAAATGTTATACGCTTCTTAAACACCGTGACTTTCCGGCTTGTGTGGCTATATGCGACTTTTGTGAGACAAATTGGCTCTGACAGCCTGAAAGCACGCCATCTAGTTATTATAATGTTCCCACATGCGCAGATGTTTGTCCGCTGTGTTAATTGGATGAGCATTTAAGCGAATAGCGTACATTGAGGGGACCATTTCGTATTTCAAGGTATACTAAAACAATTTCAATTATGAATTGCATTAAACGCTGAATTGAACATGTCTCTGAGCCTTCCTTAATATTCTAAGGATTGGTTTGGATGACTTTACCTTTCGGATTTTTTTTCGACTCTTTAATTTGAGAAATGGAAAAAAAGGTTTTTCATAGCTTTACCTGTCTGACCATTGCCATTCTCGCTCAAATTCTAAACCAATCCAGAAACTAGATCTTCCAGATAACCTTCTTATAAAACTCTGTTCTTCTTTGCTGTGGATGCTAACAAGGTTTGACTGAACTTCCCTGCATAATTCCTGTGCCTCTGTCCACTTAACGCGCTTATTCAAGACTGGAAAGTAGCAATGTGGTACCCCTTTGACAGTGAATGAATGCCAGTACGAATAGCAGCCTGTAGTGGGGGCTGGAAGATATAAAAGCAAAGAAAGAACTTAAAAACTTGCACACCAAGAATATCACTCAGGGCGTCAGTAGATGAGTTAGCTATCTGGTCTGTTAGTCAGTGTGGCAGCCGTGTGTCAGTGCATTAGTAGGTGCCTCAATTATTCAATCGGCCGCACGGTTGCTCGGTCCGTCAGACATTCCGTAAGTCAATCAGTTAGTCAAACAAGTAGTCACCCATCTAGTCAGCCGGCCAGCCACTTAGTCGGTCACTCAGTCCGTCCGTCTGATAGTCAATCAGTCACTTAATAAGTTAGTTTTGCAATCGTTCAGCAAGTCAGTCAGTCAGTCAGACAGTCAATCAGTCAGACAGTCAATCAGTCAGACAGTCAATCAGTCAGACAGTCAATCAGTCAGACAGTCAATCAGTCAGACAGTCAATCAGTCAGACAGTCAATCAGTCAGACAGTCAATCAGTCAGACAGTCAATCAGTCAGACAGTCAATCAGTCAGACAGTCAATCAGTCAGACAGTCAATCAGTCAGACAGTCAATCAGTCAGACAGTCAATCAGTCAGACAGTCAATCAGTCAGACAGTCAATCAGTCAGACAGTCAATCAGTCAGACAGTCAATCAGTCAGACAGTCAATCAGTCAGACAGTCAATCAGTCAGACAGTCAATCAGTCAGACAGTCAGTCAGTCTGTCAGACAGTCAATCGGTCAGTCAGATAGTCAGACAGTCAGACAGTCAGTCAGTCATGAAAGAAGGGTACTTTTTGAAGAAACTGCGGTTAGTCAATGGTTATTTTATTAAGACAGTCTGTCATTAGGTCATTTAGTCAGTCACTCAGTTAGCACTTGAGTCGCTCATTCATCTGATTGGTAAATAAGTGAGTTAGTCCACTAGTTCATAAATCTTTCAGTCCAAAATAATTACGACATCAAAAGCAACAACAACGAAAGATCGATCGAAACTATTATTCCCAGGGTCTCGATATTTCTTCTCTGTACTACCCGTTATACATCTCCCAGGATAGTAGCACTTAGGATTTTACATCAACCCACACAAAATCCTGCAGTTCATGTTTTTCTTCCTTCTCTTCATCTGCCCGCCACAAAATATTATAATCTTGATAGGAAAAATTCCATATTAGTCTCTCCTGGGAGCGAAAGAATCAAACTTTACTAACCTCTGGTTGGTATGGGATACTCGTTTGCACACAAGTAGTTATTCTGCCACACTCTTCGACGGTAGACGTAGTTATTTTGCCATCGCAGACATCGCAAGCCTTTGATAGGTCCATTTGTCGACCAACTAAAACTAGGGAAAGGACCGTACCAAAATTATATTACAGACACTCGTTGGAAAGAGTACCAAGGTATAAAATGAAAAGATTGACATATCCTATGTTCTGTATTAGAAGCTTTCCATTCTGTTCCCACAAGTTCCCACCATGGAAAGTTCCTGCTTTCTGCGTTAGCAACTGTATGTGTAATGCGGGTTAAACTTGAAACATGTTTATTAGTAGGCGAACCCCTCAATGACAAGATTTTAAAAAGGAAAGTAAAATGCTTCTCGACATACCTACAAGTTAAATGGGGGTAAGTTTCTAAAGGAATTGTGAGTGGAGTGTTATATACGCAGAAAATAGAGCTACGCTGTTAGTGGGAACATGGTAGAGAGAAAAAAAAGATTTAATCAGTTGTGGGGAATAAGAGTGCCAATGAGAAAGAGAACTGCCTATATATAGGAATGAGAATAATTTTGGAGACAAAAGTGTCTTGCGATCGGTTTGGATACGTCTTTGTCAATCCTTTTCACGTCACGTCTCGGAATCGGTCGCCTAGCAGTCTTCCTGTTTCCCACAACTCCTCTATTCCCTCTAACGAAGACCTAACGCTCGTCAGCCTCGGGAAGTCTTTATAGTGGCCAATTTACATTATCAACCCAGTTGATGAAACCATGTTATCTACTTACGTGTAAGGAACGTTTCGTGCACACAAGAAGTTGTCGTCCCAGCCATTTCGTTGAATGCGTCCGTTTTCTTGTGTGATTTTGGTGCAGCTCATGCCCGTTATTTTTCCTTGATCAGACCACCGGATGTCGATAAAGCGCTTGTTACTCGGCCAACAGAGTCGTGCGCGGGCCCATGAACGGTATTGGGATCTCTCGTATATCGGGATACACTTATGTCGTCTGGGAGAAAAACTTATAAACAGGAACTTGAAATCGGCAGGCCACGATGGAAATTCTACAAAAGAAGAAAAGATCTCGACTACTTGTGCGGAAATAGTCGCAGGTTGAGTGGGAAGAGGGGGGAAGGGTGGGGGGAATAAAGATGATGTTAACTTTGCATACAATCCTGACGGCTCAGCCCACTGAGACATATTCTGGTTTTAGCCAAGTAAAGTGATAAGGAGTATCGCTGCTCCTTCCTTAACTGCATGCCAGTTCTCATCAACTTTTTTGCAGTTGCAGTTTACCGGCATTCCATCATAGCCATGGATGGAGAGAAGCATCGTAAGATTGTGCAAATAGTCCATTGTGATCACTTTGGTTTTGATTCGGCGAAAGTTAATCAGTTTTAACGAGAGACTGGTTTTTACGTTTACTCTTCTCTAATTGTTACTCAATCCTCCACAGATACTTACCAGGACAGCGTTGTGTTTTACATAACTTAGATTCATAGTAACTTCCTTGGCACTGAGCGCCGCCATATTTAGGCGAAGGCGAGTCACACGATCGTGTTCGAATGCTATGTCCACCTCCGCATTTGTGAGAACATGAACGCCAACGCGACCATCTTGACCAGTCACCATCTGTTATGACAGAAAAAAAGGATGAAAACTGAAAATCTGAGTTCGCACCAAGTCGCTCATCCAGCAGGAGCCTCTCCATATAGGTCAGTATGTAGGACGATTGACAAAAATGAACCTAACGCATGTCTCCTATAGAAGATTCCCTGTATTTAGGTCGGTAACGATATCCACATTATCTACGGCTGGAATCCTATGGGAGCGTGTGAATTTTTTTTCTTTTCACACACAAGCCACAGGTGTTTTACATGTTTTCTGACAAATTTTCATGCAAACTTAAGAGTACACACCTATCTTTTTATACTTGGAAGTTCCACACAGGAAATACCCTTCTCCATTTATTCCTTTTCTCCTCACTTCCAGACATCCTTTTCCTTTCAAAGGTCCATCCGTTGACCAACTCAGTTTCAGCAAACTGTTACGAGGTAAGCAAAGGTAACTTTTTTCCCACAACCTTGAAGAACGCACATGAGGCATCCGGGTATTCACACAATCCTGGTTAGTGATCTCACCATTGCGTGACCACGTGATTGTAAGCCTCTTCAAGGCGGGCTTGTAGCAAAGATACTTTGTTCTCCACTCCCTGTCACCTGGCTGGTCCAGAGCAATGCAATTTAAGTGCGCGCTTGAAGTATCTCTGATGGAAAATTGCTCAGGGAATACTGGAATATCTGAAGTAAGCCAAAGCTGAATTAGTTGACAGATTTCGTTTAAATAAGGAAATCCTTCAATGTTGACAACACAATTTACCGATGATACCATTCGCAAGGACGATGAACCGATACTAATGAAAGACAGAAGGTGAGTTTCACGATCAGGACAACGTAGCGTTGCTCCTTTACTGACAAGACGATACGTAACTAAGAAGAATTTTATGTAAGTTACAAAAGTACACTTATTCTCCATTAACGAGAAAGTGACCTGACTTAAAATTTGATGAACGCATGCTGGAAGGATATCACAAAAAAGTAACAACATCAAGCCTACAAATAAACGCTGAAATAAACACCTTTTTCTATTGTGGGAAACTGTATAATACGTTCGTTAGTCTTTATTTGATCGAAATTTATAAGTGATTTCGTTTGTCTATTATATAACCGGACAAACCGGCACGTGTTTTTTTCGCCTATGTGTGGCCTTGTGCTAAGTGCTTGCAACGGGACGTCCTGTGTGAGTTATTTTGAATACACAGCAGCCGTGAGTGGGAGTTAACCAAAGCGTTGTAATAGAATCAGTAAATCAAGTGAATAAACTTTAACCTAATTAGGAAGCGTGGTACAACTCTTTCACGTTTTCGACAGCGTCACTGCAAATTTGAAATACTTCAGCATTCCCTGTCATCAGTAAAAGATCTTAAAATTGAAAAATGTTTTTTTGGGAGGGAATTAACGGTGGTAAAAGTCTAACCCTGCACTAAATTTTCAAGTGGGGTCGACTTCATCGCCAAATAACTGAGAACTGAGATCATATATTTTCATACCTGGGCATGAGTACATGAGGTTCATCTAAAAAAGATACAAAACACAAAAGAAACAAGAAATCACAAATGTGACAAAATGCGTGAATTTTCCAGGGATGTCATGTGGTAGGCAGAAAAATGCTTAACTAAGATTATGATTACAATAAAAAGTGACATGATGAGATATGTGGAAAATTGTCCTTACTTTCTGTCAAAGGTCGGTAGAGCTGGTTGTTTGGTGTTTATTTCGTGGAATTGAGGCATGCAGAATCCCAGTTGAACCCCAGCGCTCGTGTGTTGTATACCTACCAACTCTTTGTGACTCAAAGACATGAGATTTTTTGTAGAGGGTACAATGAAGATTTCGAAATCTCAGTTCGGAGATTTGGAGAAGTTGGGCTCATTTACAATGACTTATCTTTTCTCGAATTGGTTCCAGTTTTTTTCGCTTTTGGCTCTTTAAAAATGCGTCATTCAAGGCTACAATAGTGCAAGTTCTTTGGTTAAGCGTACGAAATTTGGTTGGCAGCAGTGAGCTGCGTGACATGGAAGTTTTTGATTCGCAGAAGAATGAATGACAGTTAGTAGTTATACTCAAGGCTCACTAAAAATCTGTTAGTCCAAAGCGAAACTTGTACAAAGCTTCACCGTATCAAAACTCTCAAACCTGCTGTATGTCTAGTTTGCTGAGAGAACGGCTACCAAACCACTTCACTGTGGGATCACGTGCCCTTATAGTTGGTTGACCATTCTTGGAAAAATGGTATCTCCCGTAATGCATGATGGAATGATAATCGTACGGGACGCCATAACTGCTGAACGAATAGTAGCTTTGCCTCCTAAAAATCCTATAATCAGCTGCAAAAGACAAAGAGGAGAATTAGTCGGACAATTTCTCTGCGGGACACACTTTACGGTTGTCAAATAACGGTCTATCCTACATTATACAACTGCTTCTGTTTTTTGGAACTGTATTTAATGTTCCAAAATTTCTTGTAATGTGGTATTATAAGCAATGTAGTTATGTGGGTAATGCAGTATGGTAGTTGGTGTGGTTTTGAAAGTAAAACTACATCTTGAGTATATTTTGTAAGAACTAACAAATTCATTTAAGGAAAACATTAGGGAAGTGGATAAACATCAATTTATGAAAACTATACTTACAAAAAAAGCTGTCATTGAACTTTTGTACTTTTGTTTGTTTAAACTATTTTGAATTTAACATTCCATTTAAGGTAGTTCAGTAATGTATTGTATCTTTTCAGCGACTTGATTGGTGTGGAACTTATGTATCAATAATCTTCTTTTATCACAAGATTCACTTGAAGGGGCGAAAATTATATAATATAACAACAACTTTTCAAATTAAAGTTGAGTAATTCGAAATCGCAGCTGAGCAGAATTAAGGGTTCACGAGTAATTGTTATCATTCCAATTTTTTTTTTAAAATAAATAGTTCGTGGCCAGTATTACGCGGCGTTTCGTATCGTAGGAGTTCAGATATTCTGAATATTAGGATGGACACAAATACGTGCGACTTCATTCACATTATTACTATTATTTGTGCAGCTGACCAGTAAAAGACATTTTAAGGGCTAATTCAAAAAGATTGAGTAAAAGGTAATATAGTGTAATATAGATAAACCGTTACCTGGAGCAATGTTTTGCCACAGAATATCCACATAGTGGTCTCTGTCTGGTCTGTTCTGTTCATGTCCAAATCCCAGGAGATGACCCAGCTCGTGCGTTGCTATGGAAACTATCTGACAATTTGCTCCGAGGGAAAGCATCGAAGGTCTAAAGAACATCGCTCCGATATTGGAATTGCATCTGCAACAAGAGATTGGGGAAGATTTGTCAAAGAAAAAAACACAAATACCTGTGATATAACGCAATCAAATATGAAAGACGAAGACTGATGCACTAATAAGCGAAATGAAGAACGCATTCACTTGTTATCTACAGTATATTTTCTGAGGCGAAACATTGCTCTGGGCAACATTCAATCCACAATCACTAATAGCTAGTGAACTTGTCTATATTGAACACCAAGTACACTTCTTGTGTAACTTTGGCTCAGTCACTGGCGCGTCCAGCAATGAAAAATGAGGTAACGGTCGATCTAACGAAAGCACGCACGAAAAAACGAGTGAATAATCAGTTGGAGAGAACAGCCAGTTAGGGACTGGCAAGAGACTATAATCTATTGGGACTGGGAATTATTAACCGCCTGGGGTAGGAGGGAGGAGGGGGGGGGGGGGTTAGAGGATTTTGTTTGTGTCACGATAAAATTTACCTGAACCCACCGGCCACCGTAAGGTTCCGTGATATTCTTACGACCCTTTCCCCCCTCTCCCCCCCTCCCATCATTAACAATTAATTGGCAGTCAATTTTCTATATTCCCTCTCTGTATGTTGGCGACAAATGATGCCCCTACTAATCGATCTCGTACCTAGATCCTAACGTGTAACTGAACTAAAGGTGACGTAATCCTCTACCACCTCAACCCCCCCCCCCCCCCCCCCCCACATGATAAATAATGACGGGTTAAATAAATTAAAGATGATATACCGATACCGTTAGCGGAATCAGAGATGAAAGAGGATGCAAACAAATGCAGGAATAGTGAAAGAATGAAGTCAAGTAATGAGATATTTTCCTGTTACATACCCACTGGAACCGTAAAAGATAATCGCATAGCGACTCTCTGTTGTCCTTTTCACGAATTTTATGCATGTAGCGCGTTCCCATATTTTCATCGCTTCAAATAATACCTCAATGTGTTTGCTGCGGTTTTCTGTAAAAACAAGAATCAGAAATTCTGTCATTCATATCAGTCCAAATAGCGTGGGAAACTGTTGAAATGCTAGATAGACAAGAATAAAGAAAGAGGGAATTGGGGAATTTCTTACAGTTTTAATAACAGCTTAAAGTGATCTCAAAGCCTTCTAGTTCACTCCCTGAATTGTTAAAAGATGTCGAGCCTCTGACAGAACCTCTACTTTGTGGTAGCCAAATATTGTCTTATCAAATGTATTTAAGCGTGATAAATTGGTATTAGGGATATGTGCGTGCAACCCGAAAAGAAAGTGTCTCAAGGCGAGGAAGTTTTCATACATCAAATTTACCTCATACCTCCCCGATACGGAGGTAAGATGTCATCTCTTTCGATCGGGATGGTGAACCCTCTTAGGTATGTTTCATGAAATGAGATAAACATTCCACGCACGTGAGGTTGCAATTTACGAAATAACCTGTGCATGAGTGATTTAGACCACGATGTTCTCCCTAGGCCGTGCGTGTTACTTACGATGCAGTAGAACTCTCGACAAGCTGGTTAGATACGATGGATCTTTACTTACTAATGCTGTCGGCCAACACATATGGTACAACTCCCCCGGGCCAAAGCAAGAATTTTTGGCGGATGGCGTTGGAAAATTCATTGCTGGATGCATCTGACTCTGACGGTGGCATACGAATATCATTTTCCATAATGGCAACCTGTTCAGCGGATGGATCTATGCAAGAAGATTGGGATGCAAAAACAAGTAAAAATGATAAAGAACACGCCATGTTCTCACCATTTAATTTCTGAGGGCCAAAGGTGTGGCGCAATTTCAATATTCCACCGTCGTCTTTTTTGCATAAACGTTTTTCCCACTGCTGAAGATCCCACGTTCTTTAAACTCGGTTTATATATGCGAATAATCACTTTTGTGATTTTGAAACTTTCTGTCCAAAAAAAAAATTATTCCTTTGCGTTGGCCACCGTATGCTGTTGAACTTTCCTAGCTTAAAAGCATAGGCATTTACCAGACTTTTTGGTCAACTTTCTATGCTATTTTTAATCGTATGCACACCCAATTCCACACTAGTGTTAAGCATGACATATGAATCAGCGGATGCCGTCACCGAGGTTACTCAGCCTACAACCCGAACGTCACTTTTTGCGTTTTATTTCACCCGGCGCTCCTTTCGAGGTGAAAAAAGAAAACCAAGACAGGCCTGCTCTGGACGTCATCTAGTTTTGTTTCTTATTGATGCGGAAGAAATTTTACCAGAGAGTTAACAGTGCAGCTTGTCTAATCATAATTGCTGGGATCACCAGCCTTTTAAGACCATAGTGAAGTAGGCTTCAACGAGCCTTCAACTGATGAAAAAATTGGAAAATAAAAGTTCCGGAGATGTTGAGCGCAGGAACCATGCGAGAATTTCGCGTTTCAGCTTTTGCTGAAGCACGCTTACGTAAAGAACTTTGACAGACAGCAAAAGGACGAACGTCATGATGCCAAAAATGGTAGTAAACTTAAGATAGAATACAACCTTTCCACTTATGAAGAATGCGTGCTGATGAAGTTTAAGCTGTTGCTACTTTGTCGTTGAATGGTTTGCTGATTGTTGACAGTGACAGGGTGAACGAAGTATTAAAGAAGGTCAGTGATCTTGTAGGGAATCAAGGGTGAACCAGGTTTCAAGAGAAGGTGTGAACTTAAACATGCATGCACTTTTTGACCAAGCCCTCATTTCCCTAAAATAAACTATGTTAGTGAAAGAAAGGCAAATGCAGCATTATCAAAAAAATATCGAGAGGCGATGATAGTTTTTCATGGATTTTTTATCTGGTTAGTACCTTCAGGAAGGATCTCTTTCGGATAGAGCAGTAGTTTTACTAGCAACTATTTGTCACGATTGAAAATTATAGCAGAGCTGACTTGCTCTTGCTATGTAAGAAAATAATAAAATTTCGCAAAAACACGACAATGTTCAAAACAGCGACAAATTAGGACAAATTTTTATACTCACAAAGCTCACACTGAAAGTATAATCGAAATTGAGTAAAAACAGAACAGAAATCCAGATTAACAACATTTATGGAAGAATTATTTTCAGGTTATATCATAAACAGTTTTTAGTGAATAGCTCTCATGTTTGCGTATCCAGAGAGTTTCAAGACTTAAAACGGAAGTCCGTTTAGAAAGCGGTACCTCGGCGAAGCATTCACGAAAATCGGAATTTAATTATAGAACACGCTCTCTCAAGCAAATTTGGACTACACTTCACGTCACAGTTTTGACGTAACATTCTCCTGAATTTGTCAAAATTAATATTCTAGAAACAATCTTTGAATCGTTTTGTTGTCGGATTTCTCTACCTTAACCCTAAATTGTGACTCAGCACATTTATGATTGTGTGACTATCAGTCAAGTAAAAAATAATCGAATAGGATTCTTTTTGGAATTCTCGGCTCCTCTTGGTGTATCAGATACTGTGCTTATCCCAGGGTACGACAGGCTTGCTCCTTATTTGATTTTATCACAGCATTGTGAGACAATTTAGTCAAAGATAATACAAAATATGGCAAATAAATGATTGATTGAGTTTTTACACCTTGAGCCCCTCCCCTATAAAAAAAATTTCATATTCTTTGTGTTCGTGCGCTGGTTGTGTACTGGATTATCAAATACGCTTTGAAAGGAGATAGCTATACCCAGGCATCAAAATGTCTATGTCGTTGTTTGGATTTAAAACTAAATTTTCTCGATGACCTTAAACAAAACAGTCTCATCAAATGTGCTGACAACAATAGTTTACACGTAAGCTGTCGATGGGCCGTTATAACAACAATCCAAGAAAAAAGGATAAAATATACCGAGTACGGTAATGCGTCTAAAAGTGTACCGTGATTTTGGGTAAAATATTCGAAAGCTTGTTACTAGTCGGCGAGTCCGTTTGACGGCGACGAAATATTGCAAATCACAGACTTACCAGTGTCTCTGTTTATGCGTTCTATCAGATCCATTGTCGTTGAATCAGGAACATCATCAGCGCTTTTGACAACTTGAGCGCCGACTGCCAAAAGCACGAAACCGATTAAGAAGTAATAGAAGTGACTAGGACTTCGCTGTGTACTCGTCATTTCGAAGCTGTTCGAACGATCTTAATCGAGTGGCTTTTTTATAGGAACTAAGAGTTATAGTTACATCACTCGGAAACACGATCCTGTAAAAGTGCTTAACGCTTCAGCACCGGAAAGAATGATCCACTGATTCCATCAAATCATCACAATTGATCGAGTCAGCTTCGCGCAAGGGATATTGGATCTGGGTCAGACGGAACTCACATTTTTCTGTTGATTAGATCAGTTTTGAGAGCTGAGCGAGATCTTATTGCCCAAATTTGGGTTTATGTTTAAAGAAGAGATCTGTTTACAGGGTAACCACGAGCCCGCTTGGCTTTAAGAGCTGTTTTGAATCAGCGCAATGTGAGCATAAGTTTCTATTGATAGGAGGAAATAGAGGCGCTGATGATTGATGCTGCATAAAAAGATGATACCTTGCAACAATTTGTTTGTTCGTGTTGTAAAACAATCATTGTGGACGTGACCATGGTAGGTCGTTTATTACCTCAGTTTCCTTGAGAGCATTTTGCTAGTTAGAAATTTGCGAATCAGAATAGAGGTGGACTTCAAAGGATGTTTATTTTTTTAAAATGAAATTTCCACTTAACAATGATCTCACCTCCCGTTTTCCAGGGAGAGCTGTCAAGTCTTTTGTAGCCAGGGGGAGAGTGGGGTGGGGAAATCTAGGGTTTGCGGTGTTGAAGTCTGCATTTATTAAAACAAAAATCACAGAGGTTTTTCAACGGCAAAATGGCTGGTTTCCCGAATCCTAACGCGTACCTGCTTTTTGCTTCGAGTTCATTATTCCGCCTACACTATTTTCACAACATCGATGCATTTATCGGCCAATCTGAAATCAGATTGCAAACTATAGCAGGATATCGACACATTTCAAAAAGCCTAGATATATCTACTCTACCTGAGTTAATTTCAAAATCAACTCAGAATGATAAAACATTTTCTTAACCTTATGAGAGGAATCCACCATCCCTTAAGGGTAGACTCCAAGATTCCAGTTCTTGTATTTCTAGCTTGACACGCTCTAAGGCCTTCCTTGGATTCCAAACGATTTAAGCAGATAGAAATAAAGACACACTTAACAGATTAGTGATGTAATGAACTCTTGATAAGAGGGAAGACCACTTACTGTGACGTGGAGCGAGGTTAATTTTTCGATTACACGCACACGTCTTCATAATTTTACCCGTCTCTCACGCCTACGCCTAACGTAGTTTCTAATAAATATCGTTTCCCTTTTTCTCCTCAAACTCTTCAACTATCACTCAGCTTGTACTTGTTTTCATAAGAGCAGCCGCTCGGAGTAAAAAACTAGGGCAAAGGGCACAGTTTGAAATTCTCCTCCAGAGTGTTTTCCTGCCTGGATGTTTTCAGCGTATCTATCTCTCCCTCTCAAAAAGCAATGGATGACTCAAAAGAGTGAATTTTAAGAAAACAGGAGGCTTTAATGGCGATTTATCCACTATCAGTGCTTCATTGTAAGCTGTTTTCAACATCGAATTAAAATATGGAGGGATTTTCGTATGAAAGGCAACAAACTAAAGAATTTGTAGGAATTTGAAGTCGTAACAACTCTGCGCTGGTATGATGTTACCGTTCCGAGAATCCAATCGCCAACATCTTTTTCACTTCCAACCTTGTTTCTGAAAATTGATGTAGATGTTAAGAACGTGTCAGGGATGTAACTCCCAGCCTGACGTTAATGAGGAGATATTCCATTTTTTATTGCAATGTATAAAGCTATCGCGTAAAAACATTATTCATTATCAGGAGCCCACTATTCTTTATGATTTAAACACCAATGAAGTACGAAGTGACCTTTCACGTGGAAAACATGTTATCTTCACACTTCAAAAGATTATGCGTTGTTCTACTTTTAAAAAAATTATTTAAGTTAAATTATTTAGCATTTCATTGTTTTTTTTTTAATATGATAAATAGAATATTGCATTCGAGCGAGGTGAACAACTGAAATATTTTTTCAACGTTCGAAGAGAAATTTCCTATTTCCAAGCGGCCATGAATATCCTCTGTTGAATACCAACTAAAGTGATAATGACGATGACTGAAATGATGATGATGATGACGACAACAATAAAAGGACGAAAATGATGACGATGCAAAGCTGATAAAGATGAGAATGACGATGACGATGTAGATGAAGATGACGATAACGATGACGATAATAGTAGCGGTAACGATAAAGATAACGATAATGATGAAGACGGCGGTGACGGTAAAATAACACTGACGATAAAAATGACGATTATAATAGCGGTTATGATAAAGACAGCGATAATGATGGAGATGACGATGATGGTAAAATAACTCTGACGATAAAAATGATGATAATGAGGAAGATGACGGAAACGACGAAGATAGCAATAACATTAAGGTGGACAAGTTCACAATAAAGATGACGATGACTATGACAATAATGTTCACGATGATGATGAGGATGAATAGCACTAACGATCGAAATAGCATAACAATGACTGAATCATCAGACGGTAAAGATGACGACAACGAAGACGACATTGATGACGATAACGTCAGCAACCACCCCTCTCCCTAATCTTCCTTCATATTTCAGTAGGAGACAGCACCACCCCCCCCCCCTCAGATCTAGAGGTGAGGGTGTTACACAATTGTCCGTGCTTTTATGGAGGGCCTGTTGTGGAAAAGCCTTGAGTTAAACTTCTATCCCTCCAACCCACGATGAGTAATGATGGCCCTGACGACGTGGTTGTAGTCTGCCTCGCAGTTACTGTTTGGTTTCGTCAAGGGTCACGCTTTCTCCTCGAGGGTTACGAAATAATGAAAGTATTTAACTCTTTAACTCCTGGAAGTATGTACATGTAACTTCTCTCTAAAATATGCGTACATCTAATTGTAGCTGCATAATTCATTTATCTTTTTTCTGAAATATTCACTCGTAGTTATGGCAGCTCTTCATGTGAGTATTCAGTTCCCGGATAATAACAACAACATCAGCGCGCAAAGCACACTGGTTGAGTGTGGTCCTTTAAATGAAGGCGACCACCGCTTCCTTCGAGAAACCTCAGCTACGTGACTCTAAAATACGATTATAAAGCCGTTCTTCACTCCACATTAGCACCAAGTGAGAAGGAAGCATGAACCGTGACAAGACCAAAGTAACAGTTGCGGAGGAGACTTAAACGAGCATGACTCGGAAACTGGATGTCCTAGGTAACTTATCGTTATCATGATGTATTTCGAGTCCAGTTTCCCGGAGTGCATGACCATCACGTGAATCGCCGTAATCCGCGCATGCATCAGAACGTGACAAGTAAAAAGCCGTTTAAAATGCATCCTTCCAGTTCATTGCTATCCAAACTAGTTTTTCTCGTTTTGAAGTGAAAATGGTTGTTGCATTGTAGGTAGAATATGGCTTAGTGCTAAAATACTATTTTTATATGACAACAGCAAGGTGCTCAAACTAACATTTACACACATTTGTTTGAAACAAATCTCTGGCTCTGTACAAAGAGGTAATAAATTGGGGGGGGGGGGGGGGAATTGGAGTAGAAGCGGGTAGTAGGCTCTATGTCTGTGGAATAGATCGAAGTATATGCAAGAAAAATGGTGGGACATCAGCGGAAGAAGTCGGAGAAGAACTCGTTCCGTCGCTCACCTTCGCCCTTGGAGTATTTCTCTTCGCTCACCTCGTTCCCCTGGTCGTTCCCAGAACACAGGGTCCTCGGAACACGTCAGGAGATAGGGTAGATGTATGCCTGATTCAAACCACACCTTCCTTTAGCCCGTTGGGATATAATAAACACAGACTGCAATCCTGAAAAATGACCATCTCAGATTACAGTAGATCATGTTCTCAACAGAAATAGCTGTCTCCATCGAGCGAACCTTATGTTAGAAATGTTTGCCGAGTTACAATTTACTTCGCAAGGTAATCTTCACGTCACGAGCAGAGGACCACTTATTTGTTTGAGAAGATGTTGGCAGGACCTTTCTCTTTCTTACGAGTCATGTGTACGTGCTCAAAACTTAAATCTCTTCAGAATTAAAACACTCCTAGAAATGGGATACAATGAGCGCGACCCGATAATTGAGATCTTCATCGCGTTTATTCAGAATGTCTAATGTCAATATTCTCCATTAAAAAAAAACAACAGCCATTTGATATAGAAATTGCAAACATTGGAAACATGTTACAGACATGGCTGATGTCTTCTTTGAGAAGGTGAACAACGGAAAATCCAGTCAAAATCTTTTTGTCATTCATGTGGAACACTGTCAGCTGTAATCTTTCCACCCTACACCCACCCTGACAAAATTGATTTGCAGCGTCAGATAACAGTTAGACTCGGTTATATGTCGGAGAGCGCGTGCATGGGTGCAGAGAGGGAGGGGAGGGAGAGGGGATCAGGGCGAGGAAAGCTCTATGAATGTTTCGATGCATATGTGCAGCAAGGAATCGAAACTCAAGCGGGACTGGATGGAAAATTCCTTTGAGAACGTTAAGTTCAAGGCATTGAGATCAGTTATATTACGGTGTTGTCTCCAAAATTTCATAAATTTTTCTTTCAGAGCTTAGAAATACTTATATCTCTCCCTCACCGAGAGTGGGCACCTGATTAACTTGTTATCAAGTATAATTTTTATTAACCGTCCACTCCACGCATCAAAAACTTATTGATTTTATGGAAAAGACCCTCATTTTAGCTGAGAAAAAGGAAAATCTTAAATCCCGGCTCTAGTTTTGGAAGTGAAATTCGAGCGACGCAACTACAGTAGCGATATATTCACATTATCAGTAGGCGGTGACCCCATACATTCGACTACATAGGCAGATGCTGTGGTAATTAATAGGCTAGATGAAATTTGTTCTGGGGATGGTGCAGAAATCAGAGTGCTACGACTTAAAACAGAGTAAGATATCGAATCAATGATCTTTCTCTTAGTCCGAGAACGTCCCTTGGTCTCTAACTATGTTTTCCCCAGGCCCCCTGGTAAAGATTTATGATTGACAATTGCTACTGGTTTTAGTAAACCTACCCTCTTGAGTCCGAAGTTCGAAATGAAACATTTTGCGAGGTTAAAAGCTCTCTACTCGAGGGAAATTCTTGATGAAAAAATAACGCTTTTTCCAACAAAATCTCGTCGCTACATTTTCATGCAGATTCGCGAGGATTGAGATGTTTTCATGTCTAAGGACAATGCGTGGAAAATCCATTCGGATCTTTGAAGGATGAGGAAAGCCGCCTATTTCTCAGTTTCATTTCCGGCTCTTGGCCTTTAGCATGCGGTGGGTAAACATCGGTCAAAACTCAACCGCAAGCAGTGGTGTAGCGGAAAGAGTGTATCCCATTTCGTTTTGCTCGCTTTGGTGGGTATTTCTTCTTCTGTGCGAGCATACGTCGATGGAGCACGAGTTGAAAGCTTAATTTGGAAGCGAATGCATCCCGGCAAGGTTTCGGAAGTCCCTTAGCGGTTGTTAAACAGTTACTTATAACGGACCCCTGGAGGCAGAAAGAGTATCCCATTATCCTGCGCAGCTAAAATTAGTGACTGGACAAGCCGGCTAAACAGGGTCCTGCAAAACCAGTGCCAAACCATCAGGGAACTCGTTGCAGATGATCTATATCCGCTTCTATTCCACCTTCGACTGCGGAAAGCCGGCCTGCGCTGGACTTCGCGATTGCCAAGCAAGGTAAGGACTTAGAGAGCGGTATTTTATTTTTTCTTTAGCTGGCTTCGTTGATGCTTTCATTTCGTGCCGATGGCGTGGAAATTCAGGCAAATTGTGCGTGTTTAGCGATAACCTTTGCGGACTTCAACAGCTATTCGGAAGTCTTGGGTAGCGCGACTCCAAAAAACGCAGATAATTTGCGTAGAAAGCACGTATGTCTTTGATTTCATTTCGCGCAAGATCTTTAAGTTTTGACTTCCACCTAAGTAAGGTAATGCGTATATTTCAATGTTATTGCTAGACGTTGCCCCAAAAAGCAGTGTAGCTTTGCGCGCTTTCAGGACTTTCATGTTGCATGAATTTTTTTTTATTATAACATGAGAGTAACTCGACCCACGGGTCAGTGTTGTTTGCTTTCACTTCAGATAATTTTCGGAGAGGTATGATGTGACAGAAAAATTTCCGTCTTTTATCTAATCGCGGTCGAAAGAAATTACTTGAAGAATCTTAGGCAAAGTCAACTACGATTAGCTTTCGTTTGATGCAATAGAAATGAGGGTATGTGATTTATCTCAATGCGATATGAAAAATATATGCTTGCATTCTCATACAGGGCTCGTCTTCATTTGACAGAGGCTAAATTACATCTTGAAGCGATATGTAACATGATTTGAAAATTTATAGATGCAAAGCATCAGGAGTCGAGGAGCACATTGCCCCTCAGCACAGTATGTTTTCACCTAGGGGAGAACCAGAATTCTTTATTTTTTGATTAAACCGGTTTTAAAATAATTACATTGGGAGTTTGACATATGCACCAACACGTTGATTTTTTAAGTAATCCGGTCTTCTCGTTGACTCCTGTTTAATTCACGTGCTTATAAAACAAATCAAAAGAGTTATCGTTTATCGTACATATTTTTCAAATAACCGGATTCAATTGTCTAAACAAGAGGCAAGAGCCTGTGGCAAAATTTCTTGATCTCAGACGATCTTGCCGATCATACAAAATTGAGTTATTTGTCAGAAGGAAAATATTTATATCCTCGCCTAACGGAACAATTGTAATCACTCGTGGCCATAGCAAAATTTAAAACTTGGATATCTATTATTTTACCTAGAGACAAAATTCACGAAGAACAAAGCCTTTCTGAAGAACATTCGTGCTCCTGTTGTGATGGTCTTTTAAGAGAATTTTAAAATTCATCTCTGTGATAAGTTTCTTATTTCATAGAATTCTCCTAATATTCGCTGTCTTGATTACGGCGACTTCCAGCTGATCAAACTTCGCTTGGCTTGATCTGAGACAAGCGTCACTTTCTCACAGTCATCAGTTAGTCACGCGTAAATGAAAATATTTTTTCTTCAAGTACTGGACTTGACGTTGTTTTATCTAGAGTTATAATACCTTTTCTTGTTAACGGAATAATGCTAATTTAATTATAAGTCGTAATTCGTCCGGGCAAACCCCTCTCTGCATCCCGCAGGGTAAAACCCCGATAATTTCTTTTCTTTCTTTCGTAACCTGCGCGCCATAAATTCCCGCCGCGAGAACGCGGACGGTCAAAACTGTTCGTATACGGTCTGCTTCTTTTAAGCTAAAGTTTGAAAAACATAAAGTCTCACGGAAACTATTCTGATCTTTTTTTATCACTCGTACTACAATGGAAGGGATCGAAATTTTGTGTCGATTGAAATTGTCCAGAAATATGCAGGAAACCCGATTATTTTCTTAATGAAAAATACACTCCAAAATGCTTCACCGCTAACAAATGAAACGGAATACGTCGCTTGGGGTATTTTCTCTATAAAGGAAGTTTTTAGTTTCTTTTCTTATCAGCATTGTTATCAAAAATAATTTGTTTAGTTTTATGATGCAACTACAGCTAAGATTGCATGATCAGCAAGGGGCATGTTAAATAATTACATTGACACAACTTCAACCAAAAATTGTTCGACTAGTTATCTGATAAGGTCAGCATCTACTGTCGATTTAAATATGGAAGGAAATTTTCTGAGAAGCATGGGGTGTCTAGAATTCTGAAACGCCCCCCAAAATAAATCTGTGCTTACACAGTCTGACAAGCGAATGTTTCCACTTCAATTTGCCAAATGGCTAAGCGTAAAAAAATTGATCTTTGAAAAATTGATTGTCTGCCGTGATGTTGCTTGTCAGATCAGGCTGATGTACAAAGATTGTACAAAATTATGACGTTTCATAACAAAACTATTTTCAGGCATCGAATTGCAAACCTTGAATATGTATCTGGTATGGCATTAGTGGATTTTACGGGAAATGAAATTCTTTAGTTTTTTGTTTTCTTCGCGGAAAAGCTGTTGATGTTTGCTTGGCAAGACTGCGAAGAAAATATCAAGCGTAAAAGATAAGATCGCAGTTTTGGGTGCACAAAAAGAAAAAAAAATTGAAAAGGGTGAAGTTTAATTTAAGGAATCGGAGGAGTGTGGGGGGTGGGGATTGGGTAAATGTTGTGTTTGGGACCCCTGTGGGTTAACGCTGAAATATTCTGAACAAAACCGGAAAAGTCATGCGTTACACAAATAATGCGTCATTTCCGGCACTTGGTCTCTAGCGTCCAGAGGTTTTAGTGTAAACGAAGCGAAATATTGGAAAGAAATCTAGCAATGGGACGCTAAATGCAACTAGGCGACTATGTGACGCTTAGTAATGGTAACGAAAGTGATAGTCACGCCTTTGTAACACAGCATAGGTTTTGCGACTGTGGGCATCACAGGGAAAGTTAAATATAATGTGGAGTTGGTTTTATTACCGGAAAAACCGTGGGCGTAGCGTAAAATCGCTTAAAACGCGGGGGCAGTAAAAACCGGATAAAGGTCCCTCAGGGCTGTATAAACCATGGTCTTCAGTATCTAGTACGTGTCGGCACCGGTATCCTCAGCGTAACGTTGTATTTTATACTTTATAGTGCCTCTTTCCACCTAGGTGTCACCTGGGGAAGTTGGTCTTTAGACTTTCAGTTTGTGGGCTCGCGAGTGACCCAAGGACGTGACTAGCAGCGCGTTTTAGTTCGTGGGTTTGAAACGAAAGCCGATTCAACGCAAGAAGGTCGCGGTCAATTTTTTATCCTATTTTGCGATGTTGTCAATGCCACATAATGCATGTCAAGAATAAGCGTGTATAATCCAGAAAAAGGAGCAACAAAATTGAAGTATATAGTTTGTCACTAAAAATAGACCTGATTGTGCCTGACACTCGATAATTAGAGAATAAAGTGCCGCAAGAAATTGAACCGAAAGGATCTAGGCTTTTTAAAAACGCAATTTCCTAATGACAGGCACGCGGGGATCTCAAAACGATGTTGTGTTTCTCAAAGTTGTTTCGATGCCGTGGGACTAAAGTTGAGTCCACCTGATCACAGCATGGAGAAATGTTAGAGAGTATCACCTCTAATTTGTAACCTTGGCCCTTTTAATGGATTATTTCTATTACCGAAGTTCGTAAGGTAATCGAATGCCTGAGGCTTTCATGCGATGACAGGTTGGGAGATGTTTCGTGTGCTTAGCTCGCTTGTGCTTGTTTCCAAAAAAACCCTTCAGATTCGCCGATTCACAATTTGACGTTCGTGTAATAATACCCAGAGTGTAGAAAATTCATTGTATTGGAAGTAAAGGTGCAAAGGTTTTCAAACGTCGTCCTATACAAGGATGTTTTTTAAAGATTATTCCAACCCAATACCTCTTTATAAGTTTTTTCGTACACGAAACGCTTACCCTCTACAAATTACCTATTGCCTTAGGCTAGTGGCCGTTGTTTATGTCTGTTTTAAACATTAAATATCTTAAATTGGCCTTATCTACAAAGAAAATCTGTTGGAACATTTTAACTCTTCTTGATCCATCTGGTGAAATGGTGATATGATATGAGGTCATGGCCTCCTTTGGCAAGAAGGGTGAAATGGGTATAGAGCTTCACTTCCAAGATATATGTAACATTTTTCTCTTGTCTGCTTGTAGCAGCCTTCAAACTAGGTTCCCGATTTTAACTTTCTCCTAAATCTGATTTTATACTGACATTTGCTTCACCTTGGATGTAAACCGCACTTAGAGAGAGTGCGACATAGAATATCATTTGAAAAAAGCTCAGATTTGAACGTCTTGGAGATGTTCGCATTAGCTTAGGAACGTTTAAGCAGAGCATACTTCGATTATTGAAGTTCCGTGCGCCTCTTTGTTATTCTTCGAAATTTAGTCGAGATTTCCTCAGTTTTATTTACAGCAGGAAAAGATTTGTTTGTGGAGCTGGACAGCTAATGGAGATCCCGTTGGTAAAGTTCAAACCACAAGGGCATAGCATGGACAGATTCATCAACTGTCGGAGAAATCTGAAACAGAACGTTTTCCTAAAAAATTTTTTTTTTTTTAGTAGAGACATGAATCTGCTAGGTTGCTTCAAAGACTATAATCTGTGGAAAATACCTATGTGGCGAACATATTTAGAGTCAAGGACGTTCCCGCAAGATTAGAACGCTGTTAGCTTAGTGAGTTCTCGTCAAAACATCAGATAGGAATCTGACTCTTTATGCATAGTGTAGCTGTCGATCGTTATCGTTATCGGGAATTGATCACTCGAGCGGCATGCGTTTTGCATGAATCAGTGAAAACTACCTTTTCTGGAAGCTAGAAGGTTGTCATTTACTTCTCTGCCACATCTTTCCTGAGTACAAACTGTAGTAATGTCGAGCCTGTATTACAGGTTTATTTACTGATCTATCGTGATTTTATCACTGAGTAAAAAGATATGTCAATCCTGATCCACATAGATTATTAGATCACAAATATTAAATAGGTGAGAATAAGACTCACGAAAACCTCATGTCCACATATTAATATCACACACAGAGGGGAGATGACATCGAATTGAAAATTTCAAAGGTACCGACTGTTTAAACAAAATATGAGAACGTTGAAAGTGTAAAAAGATGGACTGAATACTAGCTATCAATACTTTTTGTTATGCGATATCAGTCTAAGGTTGACCCTTCTGGCCTTTAGACCACCTTGGAATTCTTGGTCAGTTCACGCCATATTTGTCCTAATCCATGCAAGGACACGTGCTGAGATCTGAGATCAAAGAAAGTCAGCTTTAGAGCTCGTTCTTCTTGTCCCAAGCATAACATGTTTAAGCCCCTAATTCAATGCATTTTGAAGAACTTGACTGTCCCTTGGCCATTGTTGGCCATTGTTGGCCATTGTTGGCCACCCTTTGCAATCGTTGTCCCTTCATGATGTATCATTGCCTCTTCTCGGTTTTACTTTCTTACCGAACAAATTTTTGGAAGTGTCCTATGAGAAAAAAGTGTTGACTTTCATCCACGTTTTAGTAAACACAATTACACAAGAGGATTAGGTGTTCCTTTATCCCAGAGATGAGTTATATCCCTAGAGATGGATCGGCTATTGATAAAATACTCTGAGGGAAAAAAGTTTGCATGAGAGGCTGACACGCAAAGCTGTCAGAGCCTAACGCGATTTCAAATGCAATAGAGGAAGCGACGGAGGTATATTGCTACTCCCCCTGTAAGGAATATTAGTCTTTTGATGTTTGCCTAAACATCCACATTTTGTCAAGGTTCCCTGAGAATGTTTGTGGAACCCAAGTACACCCCTAGGTGGACAGGAACCATCTGAGAGTCTCTTGTCTAACAACACGACACATTCGTCCCACTTAGAGCTCAATCCAAGCGTTCATTGGCGCCGCGACAACAGCCTGAAGGCCTAAGAGTATGGAATCGGCAAGCAACGTGAGCGTGCAATTAAAGAGGTCTGCGAGTGGGTTTACAATGGGTCTGCTGGCAGGCTCAGTATTAGGCTACCTCCCTTCCACGAAGACGAGGAAAACCTTACAATTTTTCATTGTTGTTTTTCTTCCTTTAGTTTGGTTCCCAGAGTGGAGGAGATCTGAGAACTAGGCATCGTTTGGTAAGGAACGGGAGGTTAAGGCCATCTTTTGCAAAAGGTAAGTAATTTTTGGTGTTTTAACATCCACGAATAAATTCAGATCTTTGCTGAAAAAGTAAATATTTGCCAAAAAAAAAAACGAAAACAACTAACATACCGAAAAACCAACCGACAAACCGGGCAATCAACCGCTGACTAAGGAAAACTATACAATTCAACAAAAAAACCGTATGCGCATTCAAGCAACAGAGAAACCGACCGATGAACTGACAGATAGGGCCAAATTGTCAAACAACTGACCATTTTACCGACAAAGACCCAAAAACCAACCAACCAACTGGTTAACCAACCGAACGGCTAACTGACCAAGCAGTGGGCAATTAACACTGAACCAAATAACCAACTGGCTGACCGACCAACTGACCAATTAACTGACGGACAGATGGACTGACAGGTAACAACGCAACCAAGAGGTGGACATGCCAGTTTAACGACCAAGCAAACCATGCTGCCACAAATACACTTGATATCAATCTACCAACCAAATAGCCAACCGTACATTTTACTTACCACCCAACAAACAAGCACAGAACACTTTATGATAAAACAAGAATTGCTATAGACTTCAACATGTACATTGTTGCAATGTACGATGCCAACCTCTATTAACGTAATATGAAAAACAAAATAAGGAGAAAAAAAAATTGACTGACATATCTCCATTACGAAAACATTTATTCTTCTTAGAATGAATCATAGCTCTTGTGCGATGAAACAAAATTCTGGCCTCATCTTGGTCATATCCATGAAACTGAGAGTATTGCTCAGCAAATCTGGATGCAAAGAGCTGTACATCTAAAGGTATAACATTCATTTTATACCACTTGTGTTTTTGCGAAAATTTTTTTGTTAAACTGAAAGCATTGAACTTTTTAATCTACGCTCGTTTTCAATGACGGTTTTTTTTCTCCATGTCCACTGACTTGTCATGTTGCTTTTTTCAATCACCAGGCTTGTATAGAAATGTTGCTCAAAGGAAGTTTACGAGTGCCTGGCACGCTTGACGGTGGCCTAAGCTGGTTTGCTGTTCTTGGATCGTTTATGACACAGTTTGTTGTTATGGGAATCCACAATGTATTTGGCCTGTTGTACCTTGATCTGTTGACTGAGTTTGGAGAAAGTAAGGCGACTACAGGTAAAAAGGCCATTCCTAACCTTCCTTCACGAGTTTCAAACAGAATTTTGGCCTTCACTAGATTCTTTAGCAGTCAGGATGTCAGGGAAAGGTTTTTTTAACTTCCCAAAGAACGGCTGCAAAAGAGACCATGCTTCCACTGACTACGTTTAGGATTGAATAAATGGATTTTTCTGAGAGAAGATGCGATTTCTATAATTTCTTCCTCCCTATATTGAAAATAAATTCTCAGCTCCTCTTAGGGTTCCTTTGGCTTCAAACCCAGACCCCAGGGAGTGCAAAGTGAGCAATTTTTGAATTCTTGGGTTTCAGTAAAACTTAGCTCAATATTTACTTGTTATTTCTATACAGCGTGGATAGCCTCGATCTCATTTGGCCTCACTTTCGTCTTGTCACCTCTGAGCTGCTTTTTGTGTAAACGGTTTGGTTGCAAAGCGGTCACCGTACTTGGTGGAATATTGGTCGGGATTGGTCTTCTACTATCTTCCTTCGTCGACAACATCTTCCGAATGTACGTCACGTACTCGTTCCTGTTCGGCATGGGTTCTAGCATGTGTTACGTGTCCTCAGTTCTCGTTCTCAGTGGCTACTTCTCCAAGAATCTGGTCGTTGCTAATGGCATTGGCCTGGCTGGAGCTGGTGTTGGAACAATTACACTTGCGCCCGCACTCAGCCTGCTGCTGGATAATTTTTATTGGCGCGATGCACTTCGCATTCTCAGTGCAACCTCCTTGCTCATCCTGATCAGCGGTTTAATTTTCTATCTTGTGCCCGCGCCGTTGGAATTTAGCGATGCCGAGAAGTATGATACGGAAGAGGAAACGAAACGAATCGACTTATCCTTCTTCAAGAACAAAGCTTACATCGTGTGGACAGTCGTTGTTGGATTGGTGTTGTTCGGGTTCTATATACCATACGTACACTTGGTAAGTGAAACTTAATTGTTCACTCTGTTGAAAACTGGTCGAAACATATCATTCCTTACTCCTCGGAGCTCATTCCCCTGAGTTTATTTCGATGCATTTTTCCTCGCTGATTGCTTCAGCAAAATTAACGTTATATCCCTCCCTCTGGAAATTTCTTTCAATTTTGATTTGTAATTTGCATTCCATAAAGCAAAGGGGTTGGCCTTGGGAAAGGGCGGGAAACAAGTGGCTGGAAGCGGGGGAAAATGGCTAAAGGTGGTTAGAAAACTGGATCACCTGATTGGCTGCAATATAGCGATATTTTTATTGGAGGGAACCATTATGTTACCACTCCAACTTAATTACGATGTTCTTTAACGCAAGGTGATACGCACTTACACAATTTGTAACACCATTGCGATGCCAATTCCTGCGGTAAAGAGAGGATTTATCTCCATCTAGAACAAGCCATTCTTGATACGCTTTTTAATCTCTCGCAGGTCCGGCATGGGCAAGACCTTGGAATTCGAAAACAAGACAGTGCTGTCTTGGTTGGCTACATGGCGATGTCCCAAACACTCGGAAAGATCGTGTTCGGTCGAATTGCAGACCATCCTCGTGTGAATCGTGTGTACCTCTACCAGCTGTGTCTACTTGTGTGCAGTGTTCTCACCACTCTCCTCCCTGTTTTCACCACCTACAGATCTTTATTAGCATACTGTCTCGTGTTTGGCTTTCACGATGGTTGTTTTGTCGTCCTTATTGCCGTCCTCACGGGGGACATAGTTGGGCGAAAGATGATGGGGACAGCTTACGGTGTCATGTTTTTCTTCACCGGCATTCCAATGATGCTTGGGCCTCCAGTAGCGAGTGAGTACTTATCATGGCACCTTGTACAATCTACAGCCACAAACCCTTTCACCCCCAATATCTCCTTATTAATTCTCCTCACTGTCTGCCATACAATTCCTATGATGTTAGTTCTGAGAACTTGGTATTGGATCAACCTTCTCTCTTTTCTTTGCTTTTGTTTCCCTATGCGCCCGTTAAGAACCAGAAACTTCCAAGAATCTTTTGTTTTCTCTCAGTGTTCGAACGATAAGGAAACGCTTAGAAAATAGATTTTTAACTGTCACAAATTTCACCCGAAAAATTTCCGCGTTGAGAAAATTGATAAATTTTTGTCAACAGGTTGGATGTATGCAATTTCCAAAAGTTACGAGCCTGCATTTTACATGGCCGGCGCTTTCACGACACTTGGAGTATGCCTGTTATTTCTGGTTCCTTTCCTACTTCCACCGGAAGTGGAAGAAGAGTTGCGCTCGCGTGCGTATGGTTTTCGGCAACGTATCCAATCATCTACTTCAAGTGAGGCGACAAGATCATGGACTCTAGACTCTGGGTCGTTTTATTCTGAATCCGAAAGGGGACTGGAAGATTACGAAAAGAAAGACTTGACAGTACCATTGGTAGAAAATGTCTTGGAAAGTGATATTTGCAAGAGACAATCCACTGACTCAGGACTTGGTTTTATCCTTGAAAAGTACTTCTCAATGCCAAAGTTAGAAAATCAAAAGGAATGCATTCTGGGAAATTATAGTGACTGTGCTAATGATGTGTGGATCCACTTACTGGACCCAAACAGAGAGACCATAGTTTAACATTTTTAAATTAAATAATCTATTTATCTTAATTTCAAAGGAAAAATGTCTTTTTGAGCAAGGATGTACGGACAAGAATTTGTTCAAGGGTGGAGCGAAACATTTAAGAAATCAGCGATCACAAAGGCGCCCAAAACACAGAGGCCACGAGACGGCAATCTAATTGGGATAGCCTCGTGCTTACCATTGTAAGAAACACTTCGCTTTCAATGAAACGTTTTAGTTTCAAACTCAAACTGTTTAGTCGCATTTTTCAAATTTTTCTCGTGATTTGTTCACTTTTTTGTTTGGTTATGAAAATTCGATTAGACACATCGCTCTTTTTTGCAGAGCGAGAGAGGAAACGTTGAACGCCGTCGATGAACTTTGATACCAAAATTATTTATTGTTCACAATAAGTTTGTCGACGACAAAGCCTTAAAAAGAGACAGAGTTTGTCTCTGAAAGAGGAAATTCACGGTTTACCAGGTTACGCTTGTCACGTCTTAAACAGTGAATGTCTTACGTTAGAGAGGCTGGCGAAAAGGGAAAAGGATTTTTCGCGCAGGTAGGAGAGTAAGAAACATCAAAATAATCCAACATAGAAAAGTTAGATAAACAGATTTGGTTCACTTTTCCAACAAAGGCGAATAAAATTTACCTGTCGAAAGATCCTTGACTGTCCGTCATTTTGTTCTTTCTCGGTGTGGTAAGACTTTTAACTCCTAAGATCTGTTCCCCTCGCTACTTACCAAAGGAATAGGTTTCTTTATCGAGATGGCACCCTCTCGGTGATATAATTGCGTCTTCTCAACAATTCTCTCAATAATACATTGATATCGGAAGAGTTATATTTTAAGAGGCTGTCTCTCTTATTTCCACCCGGTCAATTTTGCGTCAAAAATAATTTTGCCTGAAACTCTGTTAACAGAAAGACTTTACCTAGGAAAGAACTAAATTAGATTTGGTTTGATTCGAAATAATTTTCTGACTGCATTACGGGCCATAATTATTTCCCAGTCCGTAGGGACCGTCGCAACGTCTCGAAAATTGAAAAATAGGCATATTTTGTAACGTTGTAAAATATTTGATTCGCATAGTTAAGCCACAGAATTTATATCAGATTGCTTAAAAACCTTTCTAGTTTGCCAAGAAAGTTAGAATTTGCCCTCTCAACAAATTTGAAAAGGCGAATTTTAGCATATTCTGACCACTAGAAATCGCCATCGGCCGATGGCCGTAAATAACCTTGATTTAGACGCTAAGTTTCGGGATTTGGGACCTGGTTGACGATTCTATCCTACACAGCCGTTAAGTTTAGACCTTTATAGGGAAAAATATGCAAAAACCCCTGTACGTTTTCGATTTTTCAAAAGTTATGACCGTTTGAATCAGCACATGTACGAGCATTCGCGATTTTTTCGCCTACACCAAAATCGAACCACTGGAGCAGATTTCGTCCTAAATACAGCTTACCCGCTTTGCAGCCCGGCTTCATGGCTCACTGCAGAATTTTTCTAATAACCAAATTGGTGAAATCCATGATAACTTCAACAAATAGCTAGGTATTGCCTTCGAAAAGTAGGCGGCATCCATCGCGATTCGTGGTATCAAAACAAATGCCGGAATTGGCCACATTTCGCGGTGAATCACCCATTTAACATCGCTGCAGAGCTGAATTTTTTCCAAAATCAGAATATAAACTCTCCATGTCAGGGAGCTGAGGGAGAAATGAAGGTTTTAGGCTTCTGAAGTGAAGAAATAATCGCTTAAATTTAGATCCAGTTCGATGTTATACTGTTCTCACAAAGGTCCGCACAGAAGAGAAGACCGCTGATAGCTTGTGCCGTAAGTTGTGCCATATGGTTTTGTTTTGTATCCCAAAGTAATATTTGGGCAGAAAAATTTTGGATGAAAAGAATAAATGCTTTTACCTGGAGTTTGATATCATATAATTAATAAATCAATTTCAAATATCCTGAGCTTGCTTCTCTCGGTTCCGCGTCGATTGTGTCCACAGAACAGCAACCTGTCAATAGCCGGAGTAATCGGCTACCAACGTGTTAAAAACTTGACACATGCTTCGTATGAACAGATGTTATAAGTGTTGCTTCTGGTAAATTTTCAATCGATTTCATCAAAACATTTCACTGACTACTAGATATTATAATATATTACACTACAACAACGCCGTCAGGACTTGATATCGGAAGTAAAGGTAGTTAGTATCTGTAGAGCACATTCTACACTTTCAGCCACCGTATAAGACATTGTTTACATAAGTCTACTGAGAAACACACTGACAATCACTAATCACGTCCGACAGTTTGTCTATGAGGATCTGTTTTTTGTCTCTCAATTTTACAGGGATCTCAAAATGACTACAGATGGCTCTCAACAAAACCACATTGAATTTCTGAAGTGTGTTATTGTGGTAACGTTCACAGAGGTCCTACGTATCGTAGCAGATTGGATGTGAGACTTTGATCTCTTTGTTAACTTTGTCTACCAGATCTTATCTCTCGGAATTTTCCTGGACGCATTGGATATCTTCCTCCTCATCCAGTGATATCCCGATCACACCCTGATCTTTTCGCCGCATTGCTGCTAGCCGGGAGAAAAAGCTCTGAACTTGGTTCTTTGTAAGCTACTGTTCTCTAGTGAACAAACGTGCATTTGATTCATTTTTCGCATTTCGCATGTCCACTGCAACTTGGGCGGGGTCGGTCTTTCGCCCAGTTCTTTCTCCAAGTGTAAACCGTGCCGTTAGGTATTCTTTTACCTTCTCTGAAAATCTAACGCTGCCCCTTGGTTTGCTTACGGCCTATCCTGTTCGTAAAGACGAGTGGGGCGAAGTATCCACGGGAGAAGTGAGTGGTGTACTAGAATCTAACGAACAGCTCGAACACTCGATACCAGCGGTATCTATCGACGAGAACTTAAGGGCCCAGTCCCTTTTGATTGCATCATACTGGCTTTAACCTGCTGACTGTATGCTTTCCAACGTCCAGGTGCAGCTCCAGCTGCGAAAAGGTTTCGAACACTTCAACACATCCAAACACAGAGCATTCAAACAATGGCGTTGTACTCTCTGTTTCCTTGCTGCCCTTTGAACGACGCTTGACCACACGCTTTTCAGGAGGATCATAAAACTCTTGAGACTCTATGGTTTGAAGGGACGTTTGACCTTGGTGCTTAATATAAATTACGTCATATGGAATGAACTTCCCTTTACCGATGCCATAACATTTCCAAACTCTCAGACCGATATCTCCATATTCGAATCGAAGTTGTGGAAGCTACTAAAATGCTCGATCTTATTTATACAGAGTGTTCTTTGATTCGTCTACTATTCTTACTGCAGCTGTTGTTCCCTTCACTGGGTGTTTCGTCAATGCGTATCCTCTGTCCAATGAAAGCTTTAACAACCTCGCTGAAGACTCGCTACAGACTGAAGCCTCTCTGGTTTCGAAAAAGCACTTGCATGCCATACTACACTTGCAGGCCTTCCAAAAAAAAATAAAGGGTTAGCGGGTTTACCCGCAATGATTAATGCGGACCTCTGTTATGCGCGATAGTGCAATCGTTCAGCGTTAATTCCAAAACGCCAAACTTCGACACATAGACTTACAAGTGGAGTTCTATGACTGATTCTTGAAGAGAATGCAGCTGCAATCCAAAGTTTCAACGGGCCATTAAGCGCGAAACATGGCTTTAGTTTTCGAGTTTAGTTCGCAACAACGAGTCAAAGAAGAGTATCGACAGATGCCAACCGCTTAATTTTGGAGGTATTTGCTGGAGTTATCATAAAGTCCAGTTCACCAGTTTGGGAAGCGAGGAATATCTAAAACATTTCACATAAACCCATGATTTCTCCGGCTATTGACAGGTTGCTGTTCTGTGGACACAATCGACGCGGAACCGAGAGAAGCAAGCTCAGGATATTTGAAATTGATTTATTAATTATATGATATCAAACTCCAGGTAAAAGCATTTATTCTTTTCATCCAAAATTTTTCTGCCCAAATATTACTTTGGGATACAAAACAAAACCATATGGCACAACTTACGGCACAAGCTATCAGCGGTCTTCTCTTCTGTGCGGACCTTTGTGAGAACAGTATAACATCGAACTGGATCTAAATTTAAGCGATTATTTCTTCACTTCAGGAGCCTAAAACCTTCATTTCTCCCTCAGCTCCCTGACATGGAGAGTTTATATTCTGATTTTGGAAAAAATTCAGCTCTGCAGCGATGTTAAATGGGTGATTCACCGCAGAATGTGGCCAATTCCGGCATTTGTTTTGATACCACGAATCGCGATGGATGCCGCTTACTTTTCGAAGGCAATACCTAGCTATTTGTTGAAGTTATCGTGGATTTCACCAATTTGGTTATTAGAAAAATTCTGCAGTGAGCCATGAAGCCGGGCTGCAAAGCGGGTAAGCTGTATTTAGGACGAAATCTGCTCCAGTGGTTCGATTTTGGTGTAGGCGAAAAAATCGCGAATGCTCGTACATGTGCTGATTCAAACGGTCATAACTTTTGAAAAATCGAAAACGTACAGGGGTTTTTGCATATTTTTCCCTATAAAGGTCTAAACTTAACGGCTGTGTAGGATAGAATCGTCAACCAGGTCCCAAATCCCGAAACTTAGCGTCTAAATCAAGGTTATTTACGGCCATCGGCCGATGGCGATTTCTAGTGGTCAGAATATGCTAAAATTCGCCTTTTCAAATTTGTTGAGAGGGCAAATTCTAACTTTCTTGGCAAACTAGAAAGGTTTTTAAGCAATCTGATATAAATTCTGTGGCTTAACTATGCGAATCAAATATTTTACAACGTTACAAAATATGCCTATTTTTCAATTTTCGAGACGTTGCGACGGTCCCTACGGACTGGGAAATAATTATGGCCCGTAATGCAGTCAGAAAATTATTTCGAATCAAACCAAATCTAATTTAGTTCTTTCCTAGGTAAAGTCTTTCTGTTAACAGAGTTTCAGGCAAAATTATTTTTGACGCAAAATTGACCGGGTGGAAATAAGAGAGACAGCCTCTTAAGTACTCACCTAGGCTAGAAGATGAAATTTTCTAAGAAAGAGTTCATAGCTGTGGCACAGAATCAAGACAAAACATTTTCTCGTTTAATGACGTGAATCGTGAAGTTTAAAACACGCGACGAAACGATCTACACCTCGGCAATAAAAATCATAAACTTGAGTCAGATTTTTGTAGTTTCTTGAAGTCGAAGGAGCTAAATGTTTTCACTCGCGCTTTGCCGAAAAGTGGCTTTCTCTTTTCTTGACCGTGAACATCTAGTGTTTAAGAGATCTAAAGGCGAAGAGACATTATGACACTTCGTATATCGTACGTGCTGCTCTTATTGAAAAGGGCCTGGAGACTAGTTAATTGCAAAAGAGGTGTTCCGGATGCACCAGAACTGTGCGCACGCAGAAAAAAAAGTATTTGAAGAAAACTTCGTTTACAAACTTATCACTGGGAGAATTCGTTTGGTTTTTAAAATCCCTTCGAAAGACTCATTATACAAGACGAGAACAAGAATACTTTACGACCACAAAAATGTCTCTGGATTTCAATTGAATAATATATACTGATTTACTGCGAATATTTAACAGTTGAATGAAAGAGAAGGAGGAAAATGGCATCTTCATTTTCGCATAGTTCGTTTTAACTTATTGCGATGTTTCAAAAGAATAGTAATATTTCAGTCATTGCTGTTACAGACAGTTCCTTCGTTTTGCGTCAATCTGTCTTGCAGTTTTGTGGGAGCGGTTTTGTGTGCCCTTTGAAGCATCAAGCGAAAGAGCCATGAGAAGTATGGAACGGATATAAAAGTTTACTTCCTGCAGCTCCGCACAAAAAAATCAATGGCGACGAACTAGCATCAAACCGCATTGTCTCTTTGCACTCGGGAAGGAAACAAATCATAACATCATCTTTACGTGCAAACTGCAACTTTCAATCATTAAAGGAAAAAAATTTTCAGGCTTTGACGGGAATTCGCAACCGTGCCATGCGGATACTGGTTGACAACTATGTACTACCAACATAGCTGTGACGCCACAAGTTAGGAGTGGGGCGAATTTAAAGGGGTCCTTTGTTCCCCTTAAAGAGGTCTGGTCGCATTCTGGAAACATGACATAAGTCATAAACTGACCTATAGATAAGACAACGAGTGACGAATTCATCATATTTGGTCTTGATAGTGCTAAGATAGGCACGCAGATCTTGAATGACCATCTAAAGAAAGGCGGCAAAGGAGACAAGAATGCCTCTATGCCTGATTTTGCATGAAGACCTTAACAAGGAAGCTCCAAATTTCCTACAGCTAAGTAGAAGGAAAAGACACTATCTTATCGATCGATCCTCCATTGAAAGAAAGAGGTTCAAATTCAAAATCTCTCAATTTATAGTAATATTAATTCTGAGAAAGTTACTTAAAAAGTAACGTGCTCGTCCCGCGCGCTACATCCTCACGGAAGGGGACTAGGCCTTGCTAGACCCAGACCCAACAACAATCTTGGAGTTGCTCGGATCAGTCATTTTGAAAATGGCGGGTATCGTGAATGTCGATGAATTGGAACATTTGATCGGAATTATGTAACGATAAAAGTTTTACACGGTTTTGAGAGGTCCAATGGCTTCAGGTCCCGCTAATGATGACCTTGAAGTTGTAGAAATTGTTACATATGATCGAAATGATCGTGAAAATGAGAACGTCGTGGAGTCGGAGGACGAGTCGGATCGCGAAGAACAAGAGATGGAGGTGGACACGGGCGAAGATGAACAAGAAAACGAACGCGTTCAGCAATCAAGCGAGGAAAATAACATGCCAGATGTATCAGAGGTGCAGTCGTCGATTCAAAATGTGACGCCGGCGGTCGCCAGAAATGTACAAGTTCTTGGACTGTCAGAAGTGAATTCCCCAGACGAGTTTCAAAAAAAGTCATCGAAAACAACCACTAAAAACATTTCTGCGACAGCGAAAAATACCAGGTTACCGGTTAAATCACCCGAGAAAGATGACGATGTAAGTTTTTCTCAGTCTGAGCCTCGACTAACAGCAAAATTATAGCAGACATTTTGCGTAACAAGATAGTCATTGACATTTCGTGATCTCGCGGAAACGACCCCCTCCCTCCTTATCAATGTTGTTAGCTGACTATGTCCATGTTCACAACTTAGATTAGAAAATCTGAATTCAGGACAAGGAGGGTGGATGTTAGTCTGCGCTGCCGATCTTTGATGGCTATAGATTTTGGTGAAAAGCTGGTTTTACCTGAACTCTCTGAAAAAATTTCATCCGGCTGTAAACTATTTTTAAACAATTTTTAAATACAGTAGCTTTTACCTTAGCTGGTCTGTCTTTTTATGACATGATGGCTGACTCAAGTGTGTGTGACATCATGTGTACTACTTAATGGTAATTTTTCTCTCATGTCTTTTAGTCCCAAAGTTGTCCAATTTGTTTTGAGCCATGGTCAAACTCAGGTTCTCACAGGCTATCATCTCTCACTTGTGGGCATCTCTTTGGAAGAAGGTAAATGTTTTGATCACATGGAGGTATATGTAGTGAAAAGTTCAATAACCATCTGCTGTTGAGGCATTGAGCTCTAGCTGAGAGTCTCCTCCTTTGATGGATCTGGACCAAACCCAATAAAGTGGTAAAAATGGATCCCAATTGATCCCAAGTGAATGGTTTTAAGATTTGTATGATTTAGTGAATGAATTTATTCATGACAAACTAAAAATTATCCTACATATACATACATACATATATATATATATATATATATATATTTTTTTTTTTTTTTTTTTTTTTTTTCCTGAAAGCTGCATCGAAAGATGGTTAAAAGCCAAGGGAGGAAATGATAAATGTCCACAGTGCAATGCACCAGCAAGAAAAAGAGACATAAGAAATATTTACACAAAAGCCATTAAGGCTATTGATACAACAGAACGTGACAGGGCACTGGCAGATCTGGAGAAGGAGAAGGAAGCTCGACAGAAGGCAGAAGAGAGAGAGGCTCGTGCATTGCTGCAATACCAGTTGGCAAAAGCTGAATGTGAGAGAATTGTCGAACAACTCAAAAGACAAGAGCAGCTGGTTGTCAGTTTACAAAGGGAAAGGTAAATGATGAAGGAGACATCAGTGCATAGTGCATGACTGTGTATCTCAAAGTTTTAGACTTGTTAGTAGATTTTTGCATAATGCATGAATCCTATCCTAATCTTAGGATAGATGATGAGGATTGATCTAGTGCCATTGTTCCAATAAATACTCCCTCTCTAATAAATGCCCTCCCCTCAAATCTGTTTTTGTGTCTGAGCACCCCTATTTAAATAAGTGCCCCTATTGCATAAGCAACCTAATTCAAAAGAGTGCTCCTTGTACCAAGAAGAGCCTCTATTTTGATTTAGTGATCTGGTGGCAGTGCTGTTAGGACTCTGTTAGAGTACATGTGCATTAAGATCAA